GGTCACTGAAATTAAAGTCAGCCTGGTGGACAGAAGGACCTCAAACAAAAGAGATGACATCAAACCTCCAACAGAAGCATCTGCAGAACGCTAGAAGCTGCTGACCTACACCCTCTACCCCCACTCACCTGTCTGTGTTGACAACAGCATCAACTTCAGGGATGTTGGCTTTGTGGGAGATCGCACTCAGCTCATTAAGCTCTTGGCTGTTTAAAAGGAGATACTTGTTCCTAAAGCAAGACAGTGGGGGAGTAGGGGAGAAAAACATGATGAATTCAAGAGGCGGACAAACGTGCAATCCCATGAAGAGCAAAGCCATGCGCCTACGAGGGCTGCAGGACTAGGCAATCAGCCTTCAGCACTCCAGCTCTTCATCCTAACCCTAATCCAGCCCTTCAGGCCCTACTCCCTCCACCACAGCACGCTCCCAAGGCAGGCCAGCAAGCTGCCGTTGTGCAAGTCTCCTCCACAATTTACCAAATGCCAGTTTACACACTGACCAGCTGTGAGACGGTGGTTCTTTGATGACCTGTTCAGGATCCTATGGTTTGTTTTGTAAATCTCATTTTTAAAATCTCAGCAACATTTCAGAAGACTTAAATCGCAGACTTTTTCACAGCTTCCTACAGTTTTTCTCTACCTTACCATGACCATACTCTTTATCAGTAAGAAAATCTCAGAAAGCAGAGACTGCAAAAAAATTTACTTAATCATCCTGGTATTTTATTACTCTGAGCAAACTGTTTACTCTGGAAATATTTAAAAGCTTCATGAAGTGTAGAAAAAAAGAACAGCAGTGGATATAAACCCAAGAAATTTGCATGAAATTCTTTATCAGATAATTGATTTTCATTATGGGAAGTTCAGCAATTTATCTGTAGAAGTAAATTAAGTACAGAGCAAGTCTGACAAAGTAGAAATGCAGGGCAGAGGCTCCCTTTGCGAGACTCCCTGCCCAGTGCCAGCGTGCTCCCTCAGAGCACTCCCACTTCAAAATGCTCAGAATCAGACAGCAAAGGCTTATTTCCAGGAAACCTAAGGGAGCGCAGGATGCCATGATGAGTGAGAGGGTGTACAAAGAGAACCTATTCATCAAAACACAGCAGCTACACAGATGATAAATTATGAGACCAGAAAGGTGACGGGAATGCCTTCTTGCTTCAAACACTGTCTTCCAGAGTAGTGCCAACTGAGGCTGTCATGTGAAGCGTCTTTTGATCTGGACCACCAGGTTTCTGTAATGAAAATACAGCCTCTCTCTCCATGCAATAAACAGTTCTGCAAGTTTGGTTTACACACAATTTTACTGAAATTAGTATAAGACTGTGTACTTAACCCTCATCTTGTCCTCAGCAAACTCATCTGTGATTTCATTGAAAGTTCATGTAGCTATTTGTTTAAAAATCCTAACCAGATTCCACACATTCCACTTGCTCAACTGTTACAGCTGAAAGCTGTTTTCTGTTTAAACAAGCCTGAGATCTTTGTAGTAGCCACTTAAGCACGACCATCATCTAAAGAGATTTTATTGGTAAACCTAGAGTGATTCCTGGGCAAACAATGTCTTGCATGGAGGACTTCCAGGAGGTCAGCCTTCCCCGTAGGTTTACAGGATGTCCAGCTCCCCATGCCTAAAGCTAACACTCCACGATCAAAAAGGCTGATACTGCCCATATCTAACAGGACTAAGTAACACCTACACAGAAATCAGCGACCAGCTAGCTGAGAAGTGCAATGTGCCTCAAGCGCAGATGTTCGTAAGGAACAGGACACCATCCTGCAGGACTGAATTAGAGCAACAGGACACTGACAGAACGTAAGGTACAATCCCACAAGTCACAACGCAGCAACAAGCACCGCTGGATCGGCAGGACAGCATTTAAAAACACACCCTCAAACAAGCAAACTGCATCACCCCTCAACTACTGCGGCAGACTCAAGCCTCGTAAGTATGCCTTTTGATGGTGAAGAGAAGCTTTCCTCCTATTCCCAAGTCTAATTTCCTGATGGCTAGCTGACAGATAATTATTCTCCTAACGTTTTCCCATCCGGTTTAATCGGGTCTTCTCTGCTGCTGGCATTTAGACAGCAATCATGTCTTCTCAGCCTTCTTACAAAGGCAAAAGAGCACTGATTAATCTCTTTCAGAGGTACTGTCCTTCACCCTCATCTTCCCACAGCCTTTGTTTCACGCTTGTTTCACTCTGAATTAGACCTGAACGTGTCCCCACAGGGTACACGCGCTCTTGTGAGCACACTGGCTCACTACCAGCTCTCAGGGACAGAATGGAAAAAAGCATCATGAAAGCTGCCTCCTCACTTCTTCAGCCAGAAAGTGTTATCATAGAAATGTTTCTATTCGTTTCAACACGTAGCAAAATGTGCTATTTTTAATCAACAGACGTACTAAGACATGCCCACTGGAGAGCATAACCTTTGCCTTTTCACAGCAGGAGCCAAAACACACGTGGAGTCTGAACTGAGTTTAAGGACAGTACAATGTCCCGTTCACACAGAGCCTGCACCACAGCAAACAATATCGCCGAGTCACAACCTACCACAGCTTTTCATACTCACTCATGGTGATCACTAAAGCTCTGAAGAAGCCTCAAGAACTGGATCTTTAAAGTAATGTCCTAAAAAAGAGACAAGAAAGGTAAAAAAAATTATCATTTGTTTCCAGGCTGACATGAAACAGGTGAGATGAAAATGTACCCAAACCAAACCCAGTTGGACAGCAGATCAAGTGACTTGCATAAATGGGGAAGCTGCACTTTGCAGACTTCCCAAAATTGGAGTGGGACTGCCTCCAAGCCTGTGCATGTAACGGTTAATTTTTTATTCTCACTGCAAAAGCAAAAAAGCTCATCATTTATTGACTGACTTAGAGTATCCAGGTTTGATGGGGAGGAAAAACACCCCAACAGAAACCAACAAGAACCTCAACACCCCACTCCAGAAGCTGACTGTGATCCATTTTGTGTTCCGCCAGACCCACTAGCAGACCTGCTAGCTATCATGTCCTTTTATGTCTTTCTTTTACCTTTGGCCTTCAGGAACCACAGTTACCCCTTCCCAGTTCCCAAACCAGGGGAGAGGCTAAATTGCCATCTGCTAAGTTGCCAGCGTGAGCCAAAGATAAAGACTTCAGTGCAAACAGTAACTGATAAAAAAGTTACTCAACCCAACTCCTCAGACTTGTGTGATGGGATAAAAATCCAGTATGGAATTTATAAAGTTACTCACTGGGCTACAATCACAGTTTTGATTGTGTCCATGCAGAACAAGGGCTGATGCTGAATGCTTTCTCCAGATCAGTTTGTCAAACAAGTTATTGAGGCCAGGAATCAGTTTGAACTCCGCTATCATTTTATGAACCTGGAAAACAAGAGAAGTGCATCCTCATTTGCTGCAGCCTCTAATACGAACACAGCGTCGGCCGGTGAACAGATGGGCACAATTACGCCATCCTCTGACAACAGAAAGAGTGAATTCTTTTATCAAACAGCACGTGTTTGTGTTAACACGCACACCAACCATGGTGTATTAGAGCAGTTTCCGTTTAGTGGACACGGATGGAAAGCAGACGCTCTGGGAGTTAGTTGTTAGCCAGTGCTTCAATTAACCACTGTGCCTCCGGAAGCAGCTTCGGAGATCGGGAGATCACTTACATCAAAGCTAGGTACAGATGTATTTTCAGTGTGCTGTATCACAAAACTAAGCTGCGAGTATTCCGCTGCCAGTCACCCACCCGCGTAGCCTCCTCTGCCTTTCCGCTCGCAGAGCTGAGGCTGAGGGAGCCCTCTGAAGGCCACACAAACTATCGACCCTGGTTTTGTTCAAGTGACCTAGGCAGGAGTCCTGAGCAAAGCAGAGCCCAGCAATAACCCAGCCTCGCTGCCGTTCAAGCGCTGCTCCTTCAGACTAAGGGGAAGTCGAATGTCTTTAGAGAATGCTCAGAAGAGAACAAAACGTGAAGTTACTCAGGGTTATGGATCAGTCTGCCTGCCAAGCTCGGACACCGAACATCACGGCGGGTTTGAAACAGACTGTAGTTATTTATGTAAAAAAGCTAACAATTCTGGTGTGAACAGCTGTTAAATACCTTCAGTCCAGGCTTTGATACTTTTGTTATAAGTGATTTGGAAGATGAGGAATAGGAGAAATACAGAGTGGGACTCTCATCCTATAACAAGCAGTCACTCTCGAGACGTGGTACAAATGAAAACCACACGTGATTAGGAAGCCCAATGCGTTGTAAAATTAAGTGTCCAAAGCAGTAATGGACATGTGCCTGTGCTGGTTTGAGCTGGGATAGTTAGTTTTCCCCACAGTAGCTGGTATGAGATTATGTTTTAGCTGTGCTGAGAAGAGTATCGATAACATACTAATGTTTTCAGTTGTTGCTAAGCAATGTTTATGTCAAGTCAAGTATTTTTTTCATTTTCTGATCCGGTCCTCTTTTCCCCTCTCCTTCCCTGCATGATGCTTAAAATGGACACAGCCTGGACAGCTGACCCAAACTGACCAAAGGGACATTTCATGCCAGCAAACATCACGCTCAGTATATAAGCTGGGGGTTGGGCCAGGGTTGAGGCTATCCATCTCTCTCCAGTTTGGCATGGCTCTCACTACTCAGGAACTGGCAAGGCATTGGTTGGAGGGTGGTGAGCAGCTGTATCATTTGTCTCCTTTTCCATTATTTTCATTACATAGTAGTAGTAGTAATATTAGTATTGTTGGTATCATTATTTTATTTCATTTACTTTCAATTATTAAATTGTTCTTATCTCAACCCATGAATTTCCTTGTCTTTTCCTCAGATTCTCCTCCCCATCCCACCCAGGAGGAGGGAGGTGAGTGAGCAGCTATGTGGTGCTTGGTTACTGGCTGGGGTTAAACCATGACAGGTCCTTAAAATCAAGTCACCTGAAATACAATCTTGGTCATCCCCAAGATGCAGAATTGTAACTAGTAGTATTTCAAGCAGATCACTTCATTTTGTTCTATTTCCTCAAATACCTGAATAAATCACAAATATTTGAAGCCGCTGCTGTTCTACAGGCTTTTGGTCATACGCTGCTTCGCAGCATAGCTGATGGCATTCCTCTTGGCTGTAGCCATCAACTTCCCCACCTACATGGAAATCACAATCCCACTGCTGGCCATCTCCAAATATCGCACCTGTGCAAGCATTCAGCTCCTTCCCATCTCACCCATACTGCCCTGACAGATTGCAAAGCCTGGAGTCCCTCAGCGCTCCCTTCCTTTAAAATGACTCTGACCTAGTCACAAGCCTCCAACAAAACCAGCCCTGAGGAATCTCTCTGAACAAAGCACTCCCTGTAGTCCTGCACCCCTCAGTGCCAGCGTGGCATGAGCGCAACAGGATGAAACCAAGCGTGCGAGCTGCCTGCATGAGCCTCGGTCCCTCACTAAAGCAGGAGCTCTCTATGCTCATCATTTTCACTTGTGAATCTGCTCCTTTCCACACAGAGCGTAATCTGCTTATTCCAAATGACTCACCCCTAATTCCAAATGTGTTCCGTTTACTTTTAGTTTGCATAATTCCAAGCTCTCACCTGACTGGCAGCTGTATGACAAAGCTCCTGAGTCACAGTCATTGCCTCTGGATCACACTGTCTCCCAGACCTCAAACTCATTACAACTACCAGCTGAGGATGCCAAGACAATCCCCGCTCTATATTCACCCTTCAAACTCCTTTGATTTTTTCCTGTTGCTGCACAGCTTCACATGAATTGCTCTTTTGCTTTCTCACTACTAAAATGATGAGCTCCTACAGTGCGCAGTTTGGCTCCCTACAGCAGGGGCAAGTAAACCAGCCAGCTGCCTTTCAACACAACACAGACATGCAAGACAGCCCAGAAAAACATTTCAGGAGAGTAGTTTAGGGTGTGACCATAATGAGAAGGAAGCACAGGCAGAGATCTGCAGGGAAACACCACTTATCCCAGGGGTGTGACCATTCCCAGCACAGCAGCAGGTAGGAGCCAAGTCACTGCTCGCAGAGTTGTCAATTTACACAAGTCGGGCAGCAGTCAAGCTTAAACCAAGGATTTAGAGTCAACATTCAGTAACGGGTTGAGTTTGTTAGGAAACTGCATCACGCTTCAAGCTAATGCCAGACCGTTATGTTGGTTATCATAGTCCACTGAAGCAGGTTTGTGATGGCCTTTAGAAATTCTATGCAAAGTTATTCCGATTAAAAGCCAGTGAGACCTTTGGCTCCAACAAGACGACTGATATCACAGATCCTGTGCTTTTATTACCTCACAGAAAAAGAGGGACAGTGAAGCAACTGAAACGCTTGTCAGTGAGAGTGCTATTGCAGACACTGCCATCCCCTGCTATTAGCTTTCCACACACAACACCTCAGCTCGAGTTCTTAACCCGCCTGCCTCTCAGGGAGGGGAATGGATTCGCATCTGCCACACAACTCTTTGAAAACTTCATGTAGATTAAGGAATGAATAATATATCATGGGTTTGAAAGGCAGTGGAGGTTACAAAAATAACTGGCTTTGGACAAAATGTGTTTGGGAATGAAGCAACTGTAATCTTTCAAGAATTCAATTCCAGTCCTGACTCAGCCCTGAAGAACTGAACTGCATGTGAGCTTAATCCTTAGATAGTTTCCCTGTTTGCATGGGACAGAAGTAGCAGAGGACGATCAGAGAGTTGTTTTCCCAGGAAATTAAAAAAGGTCCAAAGCCAGCTATTTCAGCAGCGTACCTCCTACCTTGTTGCATTTGACAGCGTCACACCAGAACAGATGCGGGGAGGTAAGGCAGCCAGCTCCCTGACCAGCTGGCAGCAGGATGAGCGCAAGCTGCAAAGAGTTTCTGCACTATCTCTAAAACTGCATCCTTGTGTGAAATCAGGCAGGGAAGAATTATCTAACTTGATGAAATAGAAAAAAAAAAAAAGTCCTCCTAACAGATCCATGTTCTAGTAGTTCAAGTTATGTCTTGGGCTTTTTTAAAATTTTGTTTTATGTCCAACAGAAACAGTACTTTTAAAAGGAGCAACACAGGATTATGGTAGTGACTGGGGTTTCTGCAAGAATTGCTAGTTTCCTCTGGTTACTGTTATGCAGAATCTATTTTTAATGCTGAGTAGGTTCAGCGTGAACAGGTTAGTTATGTCCAGGACTGTATTACAAAGGCACTTCTATTTTAAATTCAGATTAAGAGATTAAAGGGACTGCCTGTGGCAAGTATCTGTGACTCCTGTAGAGTGGGGGGTTTACTGACAAAATACTCAAGATAAATGTGCTCAAGCACCAGCCCCCCAGCACAGCTACCCTAATACAACAGCCCTTCAACAACTCAAAACAACGTGACCCTCCCAGTCTCTAGGGCTTCTCAAGGCCCCTGCTATTCCAAGCTGCTCTGCTGAGCTGAGCAGACTGCCAGTGTTGGAAACCTGTCAGAGCTGCACCAGCGGACGGCTTTTCTTCTGCCTTCACAATATGCTATTGACCCATTTAAATCAAACTACGGCCAAGCTGCAGTGACTGGTTCTCCATAAGCTATGTGAGGCAGGGAACTAATTATTATTCATTCTGGAAGTAAGAAACACAAAAGGAATAGAAGAGTGGGTATCTAGGTAGCATGTAGTCCAGACAGCACCGAAGTGTATCCCCCCCACTGAGAGTTTACCAACAGGCTGACACTCAGCTGGGACATGGGCACCTACTGCAAAAATCACCCATACACCAATTATCCCAGAGGGTTTCAAAATGGAAAGCACCCAAGATGGGGACGGACTAAACAGGTTCCCTCCAAGAAAGTCCTCAGTGCACCAGGTGGGATGAATGCCTGGCTGCAGCTCCCGCAGCATCCAGGTACATCCACACACTTCCTCACACAGACAGGTGCCTCCGGACGAGGCATCCTCCTGCATCCATCCCGCACCCCAGCAGCAGCTTTGCAGACAGACCTCCCCCCCAACGGGTCAGCACAACTTGTGACAAGCTCCGTCCAGTGGCTCGTGCTGGTTCTGGGCAATGAAACCCTGCCTGTCTGTGCCGCGCTGCCACGAAGGGATCTGCCCAGCTGCACGCCTTCAGCTTTCCCCTTCATGTTTCTGCCCCATGACGAGCACTTAGGTTTAAAGAGACATCCACTCTGCACGCGTGGCCGCTTACAAGCGCTCACCTGATTCCTTTGTCTCCCCATGAGCAGCACGCAGAGAACATACAACACCTCCAGCTTGTACATAATCTCGTGCATGATCTTCATGGACTGTGGAAGCTGAGTTCGTGTTGAGGTGTTGGCCAATCCACTTTCATCTGAGGACTCTGAACAAGATGGCAAAGATGTGAGCCTGAGGCAGCTTCAACAGGAAAGGATTTGTTACAGTTACTACTATTACACTGAACCACTGCAGATGTCAAACCAGTATGACTGCTTGAATATCCTCAACTGGAAACAGTGATATGCAACAAATAACCATTTAAATTGAAGGCTACAGGAAAAAAATACAGCTGGAACTTTAGAGGAGATAAAATTAGATTGTAAAAAGTTATTTCATTTTTCCATAAGCTCAATGACATCATCTACCTAAAAGGTAAAGGCAAACTGTGCCTGACAAATTTGGTGGCCTTCTAAGACAGGGTTAGTGCTGGTGGATAAGGGAAGAGCAACCGATGTCATCTACCTGGACTTGTACAAAGCATTTGACACTGTCTCACACAACACCTTTGTCGCTACATTGGAGAGGCATGGATTTGATGGGTGGACCACTGAGTGGATAAGGAAGTGGCTGGATGGTCACACTCAAAGAGTTGCAGTCAAGGGCTTGATGTCCAAGTGGAGAGCAGTGACGAGCGGCGTTCCTCAGGGATTGGTGTTGGGACAGGCACTGTTTAACATCTTTGTCAGTGACATGGACGATGGGATTGAGTGCCCCCTCAGCAAGTTTGCCAATGACAACAAACTGTGTGGTGCAGTCAACACGCTGGAGGGAAGGGATGCCATCCAGAGGGACCTGGAAGGCTGGAGAGGTGGCACTGTGCCAACCACATGGAGCTCAACAAGGTCCAGTGCAAGGTCCTGCATGTGGGTTG